GAAATTCGAAAATCTAGAACGGTATATACTGTGACCTTAAGGTTACTTTGTGCGATCTAATTGTGTACTGTGCAATTTCGCTAATCCGTGTCAAAAAATAACTACATGTTTTGATTTAGGAATTTTTCAAAATATGATTTTTCTATTTGGCAATATAAAATGAGAGGAATTTTGGTTTAACAAAACATTTCGAAAGCTATATATGGTAATTTTTCTAATGATTTGTCAAAAGAACAAAAAGAAGAATATGTTGAGCTTATTTCCAATTCAATTATTTTACACCTATCAAGTGCTACTTTAAGAAAAGTTAGTAAACTTAAAACCACAAAAGAACTTTGAAAAAAATTGAAGGATTTGTATTTGTTTAAGTCTACTTCTAACAAACTTCAGTTACTCGAGAGGTTTTTTAGTTTTGAAATGGATTATCCAAAGTATCTTGATGACAATCTAGATGCATTTAAGAAACTTGTCCAAGATATTGTTAACAGTGATGAAACGGTGTCTAAGACATGTAAGGATATTATTTTGCTTAATTCCATGTTTTACACTTATAAAGAGGTTAATGATGCAATTAAGCATGGTTGAGACACTTTAATATTTGAGATTATCATAGATTCTCTTAGGATTAAGGGAATAGAGAGGATTGAAAAATAGGATAAGAAAAGTGGTGAGATATGCATGATGAGGGATAAAATACATTTTAAGCAAACAAAGTCATGCAAGAAATCAAGACAGTAGTGACTCAGGTCGTGACTTGAGTGATGAAGGTTTTAAAAGTAAGGGTAGAAGTTGGGATAGGTATAAGTCTAAAACGAATGGTAAGCAGTGTTATAATTGTGATAACTCTAGATGTTTTATAAGGGACTGTTCTAAGAAGAAAGGTTAGTAGAAAGAAAGATGAGAGGTGAGACAGATGTTGCCACTGGGTCCAGTTATAAGCCGATTGAGGTTTATTGATAATAAACCTGATTAGTGATTTAACTCTGTGTGAAATCCCATTTGCTTGAACGATTGCTTGATTTTAGTGCATTGTTCCATGTTACATTTCATTATGTTTGATGTATATCTTTGCATGGATTTGAAAGATATCATATTATTGAGGGAAATGTGTTGCATGTATAGTAGTTGAGATTACTATTACAAGGATTGACAGCGGGTGTATTCTCACTTTAATAGGTGCATTACTAGTACTTCTATTGATAATATGGAGTATGGATGCCTGAAGTTGCATTGGTGATATGAATGAAAGGTACGGAGAATGACATTTGGATCACGAGGGATAAGGTTATTAAATGTTTAGAAATGTTCTATTTTGTAGAATCCTGATCAGTTGAGTGAGAGAGTGACACTCCTATTATCTCTATTACTCATTATCCACTTAGGTTGAGAGATGTGAGGTAGTGATAGAGGAACATCCTATAGACTAGAATCTTAAGTGGTTTACCAGTTAGGCATGATGAGTTATCAATTTAGTGAGCATGGTTGGCTATGAGATGAGATATGTGTTCTCTAAAAATGAGCTACACGAAATAGGGTAAGATGATTGTGGTGAGATCTTTCCTTATGTTCATATACTTGATTAACTTGTTAATTTGATGTTCAATATATGTTGAACACATTGAAAAGATGTGTATTATCCTATGGTATATATTCATTATATGCTCTTGGTTGATTACTATATATATGATTGTACCGAGATTCTAGATCTCAATCCTTGGTGAGTATGTGGAGCAGATATGGTATGTGTTTCGAGTTCAAGATACAAGTAAGGTCTATGGTCTTCAATTTCATATCCCAACACTCGATGATCAAATATTTTATTTCTCACTCATGAGATGCACATTTCGAAACTTGTTCAATCTCTTACACTTTTTTTAACCCAACTTATTCATTTTCCACTCAAGTTTGGTTGGATGTACCAAATGAAAACAACTATCTCGATATGTGATGATTCTTCCTAGATTTGATTATCTCAACCCCCAAGCTTCAACTAGGCTAATCAACCTTGTAGAAATCTAGATCCCAAATTAAATGTCTATGCCTTTTATTGAGACTAGCTATTGGGATTAAACCCCTAATGTATAGTTACTAACTATATTCCACGTGTTAGTTGAAAACACTCAACATAATTTTTCAACAAACACAAAATCAACACAAATCGGATCAACCAAGCTCCAAAGTATCTTTTCAATTGATTAATTGGTTGCATTTTAATTTGATTTTGGGTTTGGTTTTGGTTTTAACAACGTGAGTCCCAAAGTTCATTATACATATTCTATCATGTAACCAACTCAAAAATATAGTGATCGCCATGACTATTATGTTCAAAATTTATCGTAATCTCACCCAAACAAGTATCATAATAGCCAAAATGACATTACCTAGTGACAATTCATGGATCATAAAGAATTCTAAATAATATCGTCATTAGCTGACGATGTATCCAACTCACATAAGCACACATATAACAAAAAAAATTTATTTTTTTATTTTTTTCCTATTTCTCTTGATTTTTCAAATTTTATTTCTAACACTTTTATGGCATATCAATTCTTTTATTAGGGAAAAAAACAAATATATCACACAAAAGTAAACAAATATAGAAAAACAATGAAGTTAAACCATAAAACTTGAATGTGAGTAATAAGTAAGGCCAAAGAAAGTTAGCAATACTCATGGTGTAATAAGACAATGCTTCTCCATTAGCACTTTTATCTTTTATCTTCCTTTAGTCTCATTTTCTTTCAATAAGTGCTTTTTGTGGTCCTAAGCAAGACTCTATGCAATAATTGGATCATGGTGGCTTGAATAGAGTTGTGCCGACCTTGCTCCGCATGCAATTACCAGCTTATTCACTTCATTCTTAGCTCTTTACATACTAAAGTTGTCCTTTTCATTTTTTAGTGCTCCAACTAGTCCACATGTTTTCCTTTTGTATTTGCAACTTTTTGATCACTCATCCTCGTCATCACCTCTATAGCATTACTCGAAGTCAAATGGTTGATCGGATGTGGTATACACAATGAATGTTGCTTGCTATCCTCCACTTCCTATATCAGCTCACATTTTTCAGTGTCAATTAAGGATCAAATTGTCACTAGGAATGGTCAACCCAAAATCACTGACAGATCACGATCTTCCTCTATATTCACTGAAAAATCGATTTTTTTTACTTTCATGCGCACTTCCTCAACCACGCCTAGTGGATGCATGATGGATTAATTAACAAGCTATCCTTTTGTATTTGCTACTTTCGATCACTCATCGTCATCATCACCTCTATGCATCTCTCGAAGTCAAATGGTTGATCGGATGTGGTGTAAACAATGAATGTTGCTTGCTATCCTCCACCTTCAGTATCAGCTCTCATTTTTTAGTGTCAATTAAGGATCAAATTGTCACTAGAAATGATCGACCCAAAATCATTGGCATATCATGATCTTCCTCTGTATTCAATACAATGAAATTAACCGAAAATATGAAATTTGTTTACTTTCATGCGCACTTCCTCAACCACGCCTAGTGGATGCATGATGGATCAATTAACCAGCTATATGGGCATTATAATTGCTTTTACTCCTAACCAACTTTTCTTTAAATGGAAAGAGACATCAAATTAACACTTCCACTTGAATTACATAAATCAGTAAAAGTATAAAATATTTTAATAGAGCAAGGAATTTCGAAATTCCCGATTTTTTTTTTTTTTAAATTTTGGAGATAATTTATTGAGCAAAATAGAATGCACTTCTCATTGACTTCAGTATCTCATATTCTTTAAGCCTTCTTTTCTTGGATAGCATCTTTTCAAAAATATAGCATAATTCACATAACAATTTGGTTTACAATCATTGAGTTGACACAAATTCCTACCACACATTTTAAAAACTATTTTTTCAATTAATGATGTGGATCCTTACACCTCACCAGTTGTCAACCAAGTTGTTAAACTTGGTTGTACAACTAGAATAATTCTTAATGCATGGAATTCTGATGTGAAACTTCTTGAAACATTTATTTTTACAAATTACATGTTGAACATGCATTTGAGAGAAAGGAAGAATTAAGCCACTCGACCTGTACTGATGACCATGGGGATGACTGCACTCTCACATGGGACGAGTGGGTACTGCGTGAATTAAAAAATCCCGAGCCTCATGTAAGTGTGTGCAATCATACCCACGGTTCATGTAGCTTGGTTGGAGAAAGGAATAGGGGGTACACAAGTTTTAAGTAAACTTGGTGCCGTGGCTTCATTGCGCTATTCGTTTGAACATCTTTAGCTAGTTCAAATTCTTCAACTGCTTTATTGTCCATAAACAACTACTCAACTTTCTTTACCAGACATTTCACTTAGATTTTTCGTAATTGTTCCCCACTCTTATGGTGTGAACCATTTTCTATTTTGTGTAGTTTCGAAGCTTTGAGGGAAAGGGATTCGTGGTATGTATACTTTAATTGGAACAACTACATGTGATTGTAGAATTAAGATTGATTTGAATAATTATCTTTAATATTATAAATTTACGAAAAAATTAATGTTCACAATTAGCAATTGAAGTCATTAACTTACATGTGAAAAGTGATAGAGCTAGCGATTTCACCATAGTTAACCCCTTTAATTTAGTCTCTTAAAATCCTTACCAAATATTGTATTCTGTCAAATTTACTTATTTAATCAATTTAACTCTCGATTTCAAATCAATCTTATCCAGCTGAGTCAACTTGCTACATCTCTACATGAATCAAAATAGGCCTCGACTAAATGCATTATATCACCTAGGAATTCAATTCATGATCACGATAATAATAGATACGTATCTCTACCTATTATCTAATTGTCAAAATTTATTACATGATATAAAACTATAATAGACTTTCTCCATTCATCACAAATTCACAGTTCAATAAAATAATGGTCAATTCAAAGACAATATAAATAATGAAAGTAAAATCGATACGTAAAAGAACTAAAATTAAAGATATACAACTATGTTACATTGTTCGTCCCAAAGATCAGATTAGTTACGCATGATGAGAAAAGAAAAACACAGGAAAAGACCTAGTACATCACCTGATTTCGAAAGTTTTTGAGAGTTCTCTAGGCATTCTTGAAACAATTTTTAGTTTTTCAATTCCAAAAAAAAAAAAAAAAAGTCTCGACATTTTAGAAGTTTCAGTGCATCCTTGTTTCAATGTTGCCTCACACCTGATTTGTCTAGGTCCACTAATGAGGAGGAAACTCAACAGCATATGCCACAAGACACTGACTGCCACATCGTTGGCACCTATGCACAATCTAACACATCACCACATGTGAGAGAACAGAAAGTAGGCAATGGCTACCAGATAACCTTCTCTTACTTTCTCAACAACAAAGCCTTTTGTTTAGTCTATTCGAACCTAAGAGCACAAAAACCAGCTGAAACCTGACAATCCCCACTCGATTCATTCTATGCTTTAAAGGATCAGAGACAGATAGACGCAAGTCGATACAACCAGAATGGCTAACAAAAGTACATTCAGTTTCAGCATTCGGGCCAGACTGACTGTGGAAACCTAGCACTAAGTTCAATCTCCAGTAACAGCCACATATCAGCAGCATAGAAATAGAAGAAAATGTACTAACCATATTACCTGCATCCACATCCAGGCACTAGAAAACTGCAAGCACGGAGTCATACAAACTCGCTGCCCATAATCTATTAGCCCACTGTTACCAGTTCAGCAGTTCCCAACATCCTGTGCTGCAAAGAATTGGTTTAGCACATTAGTCTCTCTACAGGCATCAAGTCTATGTTTGGTATGATGTCTGTATAAGAATACAGTACCGTACAATACACTTAACCAAACAAGCGAAAGAAAGAAAAATTCTCGTGATCATCAAATAACCTACATGAATATATCCCTACTTGTATGCAACCATTCCACAAGTACCATTCCACAGTATTACTTAAAATAACTCTCTTCAACAAAAATCTTTAAATTTTCTGTAGAGATGGACATAAGAACCTCAACTGATTACTATAAGACATCAATGGAAAATATGGCAAACATGTATTATTCAGCTTGTCAGCATAGGCTTAACGGTTATACAGTTGTTATTCGCAGACAACACGCAATTATCGATATTTACAGAAATAATATATGAAGTTAGGGTGAACCACCCTGTAGAGACAAAAAAAACTTCTTCAGAACTGAAATCAAGTGACTTCAACTGCAGAAAAGAATCAAAAGAACTACAAAGCCAGAATTTTTCTAAAAGTAGAACAATTAAACATCTAATCTTTATTATTGAAAGGATACATAAGAGCAAGATTAATCCTTGGCCTTCTTTCAACCTTCATGTCCCCTGATAAATGAGAGACGACATATAAATCAGCTAAATTTATGATAACAACATAACCACCAAATGGAAATTATAAACTATATGCAACAATACGAGGAACAGGAATGGTTTTGTGGAGACCGTGACAATCAAATAATTGTAGTGACTAGAACATGTATATGTATTGACTAAAGGTCTCCCAATAGATCGACAAGATCTAGTAAAACCTCACCACAATCTGGTGTTTTTGCTATCATATCTTCTCAAACTAATGGTTCATTGTCTGCCAAGATTTCTTCGGTTTCATAGCCAAAAATGAGATCTTCCCTGAGCATTTCCTCCAACAGACTCTCTGTAGCAGAATTCAAACCAGAACCACTAGTAAAGGGGTCATTCTCTGATGTACTTTCCTTCGTAACATCGTTGCCAAGTGGACCGGAAAACAACGTCTCAATCTCTAATTGAATGTTCACAAGCTCCTCTTGATCTTGACTAGTATAATTCAAAGGCTGATCAATACCCATGTCGACAGATACAGCATCCTGCAAATTCTCAACATTTGGACTCGCAGTGAGTCTCCTCTTTTGCCCAATTTCTAAGCGCTCTTGCTTCAGTGCGTATTTATCCATATAATGCTGGACAAACATCGGATTCTTAAATGCTTTAGCAATGAAACTCATCATTTGTTGTTGCTTCGTTTCTGTGCTGCAAATCCTTTGGTCCATTTCCATGATCTTCTCCCTTGAGTTATGCTGTTGTTGCTTCAGTTTCTCAATTTCCATCATCAACCCATCTCTATCACATTTCAGTCTTTCAACTTCTTCTTCCGCACCGATATGTCCCAACTCAACACATGAACTTTCTCCTTGAGAGGTTGAGCTTTGCATTATGTTTCGTCTCCTCTTGATTGTCTTCAAGAGATGCTTCTGTCCTCCCAAAAATCCCTCATTTGCAAATTCCCATCTATCGGGATCCACCTTTTTAAAACCCTGCATGTTTCAATAATTAAGTAACCGTAAAAATCCCAAATTCAAATATATTTTAAACTATTCAAAACCATCAGAAACAGAGAAAAAATCTAACGTTTTGCTTCTTTAACATCTAACATGTGAGAACCACCATGAACTGCCAAATGCAAGCATAGAAGTGCATCAAAATCAATGTAGATTTACAAATAGTACAGAATTATCACTAATTTTGGAGATAGTCGGGACTATAGCTGGATATCAAGCAAATCAGGGGGAAATTTTCCGAATGCTTGCAGCATAAAATTGTGAAATCCTACGTTTCAAACAGCATATAATATTTCAACATGACTCAATCAAATGTAAATAACCACAACAGAAGAAGTTCGGCAAACATTAATAACTCACTTCTGTCCTTGCAAACTGACAACCTTTTAGCTAGTAATAACAAGAACGATCAATTTTTTTTACGAGCTTCAAGAAATTTAATTAAAAAACATAATTTAGTAAATCGTATTAATAATCAGGAACCAATTGGAATAAACCAGATGTCAATAGTTTTTTAACAACGACATTAAAAAAAAAAATGCAAAACACCATTTTCCAAGAGAAAACCCTAGTTAAAGAAACTACGGAATAAATTGAAAAATTGGAGCTAGAATTCTGAGATCACTATGAATTGAAGTCAAATAAACCAAACTTTAGATGCGTTTTAAAGAAATCCTACTGAAAAAATTCCACTGCAACTGCAAAATCTTAAAATCAAAACTGACCAATATATAAAGTAAAACTACAGTAAGAAATATTAATATGAAATTGTCTTGGGTTATTGAAAATACTTACATATGTGTTGAGCTGGCGAATAAAGCTAGAGAAATTGCTGTGCTTGAAGTACTTAGGGAGGAGAACGGTGGAGAAATTTAGAGAATCCCACACAATAAAACTGTTCCTGCTTCTGCTCCATGAAATCACTGCATCTGTAGAAGAATCTTCCACCATCTCAAAAATCTTGATCAGAAATGGAGGTGGGCCCACATCATGCAACCCCTCCATTGGCTCTGCAAACACTGCACTGGTAGCGGTGGCGGTGATTTCCTCTTCCAGCTTCTCTGTCGCGCCTTCACAAAACTTTCTTCAAGTATATTTTGTCGGCAATTGAAGAATCGTAGATAATTTTCTGAAAAAGACTTGATTTCAGTTAGCGACACTGAGAGTGCGGAGATTTATATATGGGCGTGGAGTGAAAGTTCTAGAAAATTTGAGAAAAGAGGATGAAAGAGGAAAGGCTCTGTCTCTTCGTATTTAGAACTTTCCTTTTTTATTTAGAACTTTCCTTTTTTATGTGGGACAGTTTGATGGCTTGCCAATTCGAGAGAATCTAGAAAGTTAAATGCACTTATGACGTGCAAAGTCATTTAACTCTTTATTTGTCAAAATTATTTTATCGTGTAATCATAATATTTTTCTAAAAATAAACGTTACAGGACTTGTCTAGTACGATTTATCTGATTGGCGTGGCTTGCAGGCTATTGTGTCGGCACGAAAGTTTACCTAATGCGCACTCGAAGGGTAACGACTGCAGACTCCCTCCTTGTCGTAAATAAATAAATAATAAAAATTTGTTTGGATAGCATTAGATTTTCATTGTCATAAAGAAGAAAAAAAAAAGAAAAAAAGAAAAAGAAAAGGTAAGTCAAACATGTTTGGATAGCATTAGATTTTATTTATTTATTTATTTTTTAAAGCAAATAATATATTTATTATGCAATTATTGTCCAAATTAATTTCGTAAATTCTTTAGGCTTAGACCTCGTGTCCCGAAATGGGCAGAGTATGGACATTAACCAGCCAAAATTTCGAGACGATCTACTCAATTGATAAAACAATTTATTTGTAAATTTTGAATATTTAATTTTAAATATGTAACTGGTGTAAATGGTCAGAAGATACAATTTCAAAAATAAAAAACTTGTTTTGAAGTTTCAAAAAACTGTCATAATTCAAATTTTATTAAGTAAACAAATGATTAAAAGAAAATTATTAATTAAATATATTAAGGTCACAATATTATACGATTTATGATCACAGTTACATACTATTCACAATCATCAAACATCATAATTACAAAATACAAATTTTATAGATCACAAATTATCAAATTAATTAGTCAATCATTATCTTTTGGTCACAAATCCCAAATTTTATAAGTTATGGTTTATTCATTGATCACAAATTTTATAGGCCGCACATTATAACTCGATCACAAATCGCAAATTTTATAGGTTACAACTTATTTTACGATTACGAATTATCAAATTAATTGATTAAAACTTAATAAATTATGAGTCACGATTATAAATTTGATCACAATATCACAGTTTGTTAGATCACATATTATTTATTCATCACAAATTGATCATTTTATCAGTCACAATCACTCAAATAATTGATTACAAACACTCTTCACCTCCACCTCAACCACCGTAACACCAACACCAACTGAAAGATGTGCCACCTCACCACCTCCCCTACATATGCCACTGTTGCCATCAATATACTCATTTTATCATCAGTGTCACGACCATTTGCAAACCACTTACAAAATCACCCCAAAAGTCTGGCTAAGTGGATTGGAGAATGAAGAAACCATTCCCAAAAACTTCAAGACCATCGTCACAGCAACAGTACTCATCATCGTAAACCACAAAAATTCGGCCATATCAAAAAACCCAACTCCCTATCGTGTTAGATCTCTAACTCTACTCTTTATCGCTTACGTCTTCAAGTTAGAGTCGCCGCTTCCACCATCTGCTTGCTCTTCCACTGCAATATGCATCTTTGTTGAACGCCAATCCATCAGCTTTGTCCAAAGATCACCGTCGATACCGCTATCGTCACCCTTCACGCCAGCAATCAAACAACTTACAACTTTGGTTACTCAACCAACAAATCTGACATCACTAAGGAAAGGTTTTTCGACTTCGTAACACAATCCAACTCAAAGACATACCAGTTGACATTTTAAATCATTCATCACTGATCGACATTGCCCCAACCCTGTGTGAAGCGAGGCATTGCTGTGCGTAGGGGTGGGCAAAAATCGAACCAATCCATGAAAACCGACCAATCGATTTGGATCATTTTTTCTTAAAATTCTATTGGGTTGATTTTTTAGAAGGAAATGAGTTGGGTTCTGGGTTGATCCATCAAAATCGATAAAACTCGCGCCAACCCAACCCTCTACTAAAAAAAAATGAAAAACAAATTAAAAAAAAAAAATCATTCCCCCTGTCATGTCGTCCCTCTTGCTTCATCTTATCTTTCAGTGAATAGGTTGGAATATCCGCTTAGCCTTAGGGAGCACGACTTATTTATTATTTATTGAAAAAGGGGGAGCTGGGGGTGGTCCGAAAGCCCTCACTTTATTGATGGGTAACAAATGAAAAAAATTAAAAAGTTGAAACCTTGCGGCCTTGGTTTACAAAGTCTTATCATTTCTCTTATACTTCACCTTTCTCTCTAGCCCTAAGCTAAATGCCACCCTCTCTAATTCTTTCTCGTTCAAGCACATTGACTATCAAGCCAACCCTATTTACATCTAAGCTTGATGCTATCGGCCTTTATTCTTTTTGGTACTCTTAACTTTAAACTTTAATTTGATTATTCAATTGCAAATGTGATGTCATAATGTGATAGTTTGGGGGCTTGGTTTCAAGCGCGTTTTTTTTTTCCTTTCTTTTAACCGATATAATAATTTGTATAATATATGCATTTTCCTTCATGTCTGATAACAAATTTTTCTTCATGGTCAAAGCATTGTGGTTGATAGATTTTTATTGTCAAACATATTTTTATGATTTTCAATGTCTAAACTGACCAATCCTACCCAACTCGATTGAAACTTGATTAGCTTGGATTGGATTGGATTGAAACACATAAATGGGTTGAGATGGTTTGACTTTAGATCAAATCGATCATGTAGAGTTAAATTTGGATTGCGTAAAAAATCAATCCTACCCAACCCACGCCCACCCTACTTACGTGTGTTAATGCTCGGCCCATCAATTTCGTTGGATTGTACGCGACGATGACTATGGTATTTAAATAGAGAAAATAGTGGGGGGAGAGAGAGAGAGAGAGAGAGAGAGAGAGAGAGAGAATTTTTAATAGAAATAATTATATTATTATTAAAAAGTGAATTGTGGCCTATTTTTGACTTTGAAAGTTGAAATCCATGTCTGGGTATAATTTCCACAAGTTACAAGAATCCCGACTTTTAAAGATCTCAGCGCAAATATCAGGTGGGATGGTTTTTTATGCACATCTCAGGTACTATATAAGTCCTATTTCATCCCAATCCAATTTGAAACCCTAAAATTCAAATTCAATTCTCAATCTTCTCTTTATAGCTGTTTCTCTCTCCGAACGCCGATGACTATTCAAACTTCGGCAACCGATGGTGAAGGAGCTGCGCCGACGACCTATTCTCTTCTCTCTCTTCTCCATGCTCTGTCATTGTTCTCATCTATCTTCTCTCTTCGCTTTAACCTATGGTAATTTCCTTTGTTAATTATTAGGGTTTCTCTTTCTATCACTTCGTATGTATTCAATTTCAATGAGCAAAAGAAAACTATGGCAGTCTTGTATCTGATTTGTTGGTAGATCTTGGCTGTGGTGGCGGTTGAAAACGGTCGTGATGCAGATGGTAGTTGATTTTTGGGCGACGTGATTTGGTGGTTGATTTTTGGGATTTTTTGGTTTTTTATGCTATAGTTGTATAGTGGTCACCGGTAATGGGGTTTACAGCATGATTGTGTGGGTGTGATGTGAATTCTGTGTTTGACTGTTTGTAGAAGCCGATTGTGTTGGTGCGACGTGGGTAGTGGTTTATTACGATTGATAGTGTTTGCTAACGGTGGTGGTGCGTTGTAGATGTGGTGTGGTGTGGTGTGCGATGACAATGTTGGTTGTGGTGGTGCAAGTTGGTGGTTTGGGTTGATTGTCTGTGTTTTTTATTTTTTTTAATTTTTTTTAGCGATGGACTGTGACCTTAAAATTTGATCACCTGTGACTAAAAAATAATCTATGACCTCAACAATTTGGTCCGTGACCTTAAAATTTGATAATTTGTGACAAAAAAATGATCTGTAACCTATAAAATTTTCGATTTATGACTTCGAAATAATTTGTGACCTACAAAATTTTTTATTTATGACCTCGAAATAATTTGTGACAAATTAATTTGATAATATGTGACCAGTAAATAAATTTGTGACCTATAATTATGAATTTGTGAACATTAATTATTTAACTGTGACTTTATTATTTATATTCAATAAATATTTTTAATTAATCTTGAATTTTGAATTTTTAAATTATTTACCTGATTTTTGAAATGGTGTAAAGAATACGCCTGAGATATGAAATTTCCCCTTCCCACAACTCCTATCAGGTCCATTGATACCGTAACTAGGCCCAATTATAGGTTTGTATGTCTTGGGCTAGTCTGGGCCAATTATGTCTTGTCTCTTTCATCTGCGTCGTATTGTCCCTTAATATTTACTTTTGGGCCATTAGATTTGTTTGTCCTACTCTTGTATGGCATCCTCGAAAACTTTTTAAAAAAATAATAATAAATTAATCACATTGGTGGTTTATTTATTATTTATTTTTTTTAAAAACGCATTCTTAGTTTTTTTTTTTTTTGTACAATGAATATGCATATACACGTTTGTTATATTTTTGAGGCCATAAGGTTTGTGTGTTCTAGTCAGTGGCGGACGCAGACATTTTTAGTTGGGGGTCACAATTAAATTTGTAAAAAATTTGTTAAAAAATTAAAACATTCGATATCTTATTATAATTGTTCACTACGCATTCGCATATTTTGAAAACGTTTTATAATCGCATCTATCATCTACAACTTTCAGATATATTTTAATGTTGTTCTTTCTCTTTAGACTTGTTTGTTAGCTTTCTCGACGTTTGCTTCCACTTTCTTAGTTTTTTCTCCATATAGTTCGTTTCACTTGCTTTTTGTTGCAGCTTGTATTTGATCTAATTTCAGTTTCTACTCTTCATCAAATAATTCTTCTTTCTCTTATTTGATAACATCCAACTGTTTGTCAAAAATTTTATGATCCAGTGTGTAAATATTCTTCAAATATATGGCTTTTTTTATCGACATAGTGTCCAAGATTGTTTCAAAAATCTCCATAATTTCTAGTCTGTCTTAGGAACCATGCTAACACCTTCATTTGTTGACTTCATTA